TTCGGTTCGGTTCCGGTTCAGTTCCAAGATGGCGGCGAAGATTTCGGTTCGGTTCAGTTCCGGTTCGGCTAAAAATAACGGTTATGTTCCGGTTTTCGGTTCGGTTCGGTTCCGGTTCGACACCCTGGCTTTGGCCGTAGGTAGCAGAACCGCTCGTGCAAAGATACAATCCGATAGGAAACCGAAACCTAGGAACGCGTCCAAATTGAGTGTATTTTTCTGAATGCCGTAAAATGCTGCTCACACCTTGTATCTTTCTAAAGTGAGTTGATGTAGTAATTTCTGACGATGCCAAGTAATTTTCTAGCTGAAGTTATACCTTTAAATGTGCGGATTAAAAAGTTGACTCCTGAAAATAATTGAGGAATGTTTGATCATCAGACGTCTCCCCTTGTAGTCTTTGGTATCTGTTGTGTTGACCGTAATTGTTTTTTTCCCATAATGATGGTGCCTTTATTCTTCCCTCTTCTTTATTAGTACCTTCATCATTGCCAACGGTATTAATTATATTCAATAGATGCTTAGGCAGAGACCCATACCACATCCAACTTTGTTTTCTGTACGATGGGTAGTGTTAGCTGGGATGATTTGGCCGGCATACCGTGCAACACAGTGTACCAATGTTTTAACTGCACGACAGTTTACCTCATCGAACACTCATAGTTTTGACGGCAAGGTTGTAGCCATGCGAGAAAAATGGGGAAAATCAGCAATTGCATGTTTAAGACTAACTGTGCTGCACTCTGTACGTGTTAAAGGGATACTTCAACGAAATTTGAAATATTCCCGTCGTGTTCAAAAATAGGTTGAATATGATCCACAATATCCGTAAATGACAATCGCACGTTTGTATTTTAAGCCTGGTGGCTGTATTTTTCGTTATAAACGGCCCACTCTGGCAAGCGCTTGGAGAAGGCCCAGCGGAGACCACGCGACATCCAACGCAATCGTGACGTAGGTCGTCTTAGGACGAGCAAAGCTACGGCGAGGCTGACGTCGAGAGGATGGCCTAGTCGTTCCAGCCACCAAAGCGGCTGCTTTTGTACGAATTTTGAGTGACGGGTTAATCTTCTGTAATCTTGTAGGGGGACAATAGCGACTTCTGCGACACACAAAAGGCATTCTCGGGAAGAGGGGAGTTCCTCCTGCCCCTCTTCTCTCGTCGTGGCCGGAGGCGAGACAACCTCCGTCACTAGCTGTCAAGGTTTCTAGACGGGCATTACAAGCGAGGCGTTAGCGACATCCACCAGATGCTCTTTGCTAATCGTTTAATTCGTTTTAAAATTCCTTTTCGAGACTTTTTTAACAAGATATTGGTATGTACGATGTGATGCTGCTCCTTTGAACACATATAGACCAAAAAAATGAGCGCCGAAATTTCGTTGTAGTATCCCTTTAAAGGGCAACTCCGCCTCATTTTTGTTTCTGAAAAAAACAATACAGTCCTCTTCAGTATCACATAGGAAGACCACAAAACAAATATTACGACGTAGTTCTGTCTAAATGTTTCTTAAACGGTCCGGCAAACTTTGCAACTTGCCAAGTTGCTGAAATCGGCTGACTCGAGCGAGCAAATTGAGGCGCAACCAGCAACGCAATCAAGGCTATGGCGTGGGCGTGGCCAACATTGAGCTAAACGTCAGCACCATCGCCCCCTTTTGCTTGTTTTTACTTCTCCTGGCAAGCGTATTGGGTGATGTCAGCAACGTTTCCTCTCGGCGCTCAGCAATGTTCATGTGATCGGTGTAACGCGCCTGCGCTGCGCGCTTCTTGGGTGCCGTCCGGCCGTCTTGCCATGGTCCCGCTGTTACCGCCGTCTCCCGCATCATGACTGCCATTGTCATCTCACCGTTTGTGATTATTATCTCTTGGAATTTCATCCACACTACGTACACTATGTGCGCAGGCGTCGTCGAATGCCGTAGACACAAAAACGCGGTGAAAAGTGGGGTGCAGACGACACTTGCATCTGGCACACACCTGCCCCAATCCCACCCATCGTTGTGTAGAGAATCACGGGACTTCTCGTTCCCCGTGATAGCCATGTTCTTGGTGGCCTGAGGCCAATGTTGCCGGATGGAGCCGAGTTTCGGTTTCGATTTCTGTTCATGTTTAAAATTAGATTTAAAAATGTATATCCAGTTTTTTGTGAAGCGGATGACGTAGTGTCTTTTACTAGGGCTTTTTAATGTGAAGTCACTCATTATCCCGAAATCTTTAGAATTGAGCGGAGTTGCCCTTTAAAGGGTTCATGAAACGATATCGGGTTGGAATGTTCATGACTTTGCAGAGGCGCACTGGTTCTAGTTTGGCCCTAGTATACTCGCACAGACTGCCACTAATTCAGAAGGTTCTTGGTCGCGGTGAAGTTGCGAGGACAAAAGGGGACCATTTCTTTCAGTCTTCCTTCACAAAACTTGATGACGTAATTGTGGGATTGAAACCACCCGCCTGATGACAGTCGAGCGCGGTTCATGGATTGGACATGAGAACTGCGTGAGCACTCGACTTCGGCACGTAACAATCAGTGCCTCGGCAGACACTCGGGTAGTGGTTTGTGTCAAATCACTGCGGTGATCAAAAACGCCATGGAGCTCAGCAAAAACAAAACAATGCCTGGAGCTTAGCATGCGTTTTTTACTTTGCCAACCCTAGCTCGTGGCTATGATTAACGTTGCATAGGATAAGCACCTGGCCACATGGTCACTTGTTCTGGCTCCGAGTTGAGGGGATGAACGATGCTCATATTTCTCAAATTATTTTGGTGATTGCCATTGCCTAGAAAGAAAAACTAAGGCAAGTTTATTCAGTTATTAATGTTACGGAGTTATTTTAAAGTAGTATTTAGTGAAAGTAGAAAAATCATTTCATAGCCCCTTTAAAGGGGTTAGGTAACACCAAAAATAAAATGAGACAACTATTTGGCTAGGACCCATTGTATGTTCCTGTTATCCTGCTAAATTTGTTTTGAAAACAGCTCGATAGTTTTGTGGAAAAATAGATTAATATGTGGGACCCTTGGATCCGCCCCATTAAAAATACCGTTTTGCGTCGTGGAATGGAACCCCTGTTCGGTGCGGTGGCTGCTGGGCTTCGCGGACAGTCGTTGCACTGAGGCAATCTGGCAGAGGAAGGCCGCATGGGGCTGGAACACGGATGTTGGTAACGTTCGGTGCCGTGACTGGTCTTTCTCTCTGCTGCGTTTTCGGGCCATCTGGAGCCAACGGAAAAAGCGAGTTGAGCTCTCGAGCTCTATGGGTCGACGAATTCAAACAAAGCAGCACGCTCTCTCTGCAAAACACATAACAGAAACAAAATCAAACCGTGTCCCTCCGGTCGCACTGGAGTATGTGTTTTCTTGCCGCTTCACTAACACCGTTTATTTTGCCTCTGATCGCTGCTTCGACACCCCATTTTGACCCATTTTTCATCAGGGTGTTTCCCGCTGTCAGCGGATCAACTTTTCGTTGATTTCTCAATGTCTGTCAGTTCCAGTGGTTGTTGAACTTCACGGTATGACACTATTTGAGGCTCCCTATGAAGTCTAGAGCATTCATCCGAATCTCTTGTGCCTGATGCCCAAGCGTGCCTTTCTTTTTTGTGAGTTGTGTGTTGAAATTAGAAAACGAGACAACCAAAGGGGACATCCTGAAGTAACTTGGTGAGGAAAGCGTCGAACTCGAAGCACGCTGTTCGGCCACTGAAACCACAAAATGAAACGAAAAAAAAAAAAAAGTATATAGTAGGCACATCAGTTTTGCCAGCAGGTAATTGTTTTTTGTTAAAGCATATTCATTCCTATGTTATTAAGAACATAGAACGTCATTTATTTTTAATAATTAATTCTTACCAAGGCATTTTTGGAAAATTGTGCAATGTCTGCACACACACACAAAAAAAGATGTTTGTAAAATTGTACTTTTGCGGTCTACTTTGTGACGCGTACGGATCTTTTTGGAGTTGTGAACAGTCCCCCATCCTTTGGCTGCTCTCGGAGCTAAGCTGAAACGAAGTATAGAAGGAGTAGGCCTAGTATTTTTAGTTGGGTTTCTACTGAAATCTGCTCGATGGTCATTCCCAAACTCCTGAATACTCGTACGGGCAGTATGTACAGTGTGCTCAACTGTTAAATATAACGCGGGAGCGGTGGCTGAGACTGATATCAGAGCTGCCTAGCGATTAAGTCAATGATGCAGCAGAGAATAAGGTGGCTCTTCTTGCAATTGTCGCCACTCCCCGATACAATTATTGCATGACCTCCTCGTTTCTTTCTTTATCACCCATGCTTTAAATGTTTACTCGTTTGTCTTGTTTTTGCCACCTGTTTCTTTTTTCACATTTACCATGCGGGGCTACCATATCTGGGTGATCTTGCACTTTCTCTGATAAAGGCCACCTTCTTTAAACAACAAAAAACAAAATCACAGAGCGCCTTTTTTATCGCCGAGTCATGCATCGATGATTGTTTCGGAACTGGGAGTGTAACTCCAGAAAACAACAGCGGCATAACTGCCACAGTGAGCCGGTAGGTGACGCATGCGCTCTTGCCGGCCACCGCTCCAGTGTTATATTTAACAGTTGAGTACACTGTACCTTTAAATTCACACGTGCAATTCATGGCCCAGCTCGGCTGTGCCCATGTACTGTTTACCGTTCCCCATAAATTGCCCGCCGTCGATAAGCAGCCAAATGTTGTCCAAGACCTGATCAGGGGATTCTGCAACCTAGGGTCACTCCACAATAACTATGGTAATTTTGTTTCCATTCGTAAACGAGACAGAAATATCTTGGTGAGACCTCTTCGAGATGGTATGAGCAGGGCTCCTTCATTCAATTGTATTGACTTAATTAAAACATATAAAGAGCCCAGTTTGGCTTACAGCTAGAGCAATATAGAGTCTGGTTCTTGGCAAACGTTTGGTGGCTGGACTTCAGCCCTTGGGCGAGCATTCTATATGTTGAACTGGGCACTGATGGCATTCTCCTTGGCCGACGTGCAGCTGGTGTCCTGGTACCTGAGCAGCAGCCACGGGGAGACGCACATGCAGTATCGGCTGGAGCTACAGCACCTATTCCGTGTGAACAAGAGCGAGCATGCTGCCCGCTTCGTGAGTCTGGAGCCACGCATGCTCCTTTGGCATGGCTCACGGGCCTCCAACTGGGCGGGCATCCTGAGCGAGGGCCTGCGCATTGCGCCCTCACACGTGCCTTCAAGCGGCTACATGTTCGACAAGGGGGTCTACTTTGCCGATTGCGTGAGCAAAAGCGCAAACTACTGCTGGCCGAATCCGAAGGTCCAAGAAGGAATCCTGGCACTCTGCGAGGTACTAGAACCTTGGCTGCTCTACAAGATACTGTCTTTCCTCTCCGTCTCTACATTCGTGCATGTACATGTGTCTCTGTGTGCGTCGGTGCTTGAATGCGAGTCTATGTACTACCTTAATTACAGTTAGCAAGAACACAGGAGCACTTGGCTCCAAGTACTATCGGAGCGCTCTGGTGGCCCGACGCGCAACTGCAGCGCATGCGCATTACGCGTACGGCAAGGATATATGTATCTTCATCGCATCATCGGAACGATCATGAGTTGTCTGCTTCGAATCGTCTGGTATGCGCGTGGTGCCGGTGCTAGCGAAAAGATCAGTATATTCAGAGGGCGATGAACTGAGGTAAAATAAAAGCCTCCAGCAGTGTGAGCCTCTGCCAGCCCTTGCTTAGTTGCCATATGTGTTAAAGCAAAAAGGCAATTTCTTTTTTTTTTTAGTTCTCTCTAGTGTCAATCAGCACCAGCATCGTCGAATCTGAATCCCAGGCCGTTTAGTGCCGGCTCGACCTGTTGCCACAAGATCAGGGGCGGATCCAGAACTCCGTTTTTTTTGGGGGGGGGGGGGGGGGGGGGGGAGAATTTTTAAGGATACTATTCTCCCATTCTTTCTTGTGCAAGGGGGGTCCACCCATGTCAAATTGCCCTCCGAGAAGGGGGGAGGGAGCGGGGTCGACTTTGTTAGGGGGGGTGCGGGGCAACCGCCCCCCTCGCCCCTCCCCTTGGATCCGCCACTGCACAAGATGCAGTGTTGGCCGAAGCCTCTGCATTATTGACGTGGCTTAAACTTCGATAGATGCTTTTCTGACTCGTGGCCATTTGCTTTTCTAACTTGTGGTAATTTGCTTTTATAACCCATGGCCCATTGCTTTAACCGGTGGCCAATTGCTTTTGTAACCCGTGTTCTATTGCTTTTCTAACCTGCGGCCCTTTGACCTTTGAAACCTGAATGTGTGTTTGGGGCTGCGGAGAACAGATGTCCCCATTATTTGCACATAGCGCAACATAACGACTTGCTGCAGGCGATTGTCGTAATGATAAGGCTCTGCAAGGAGTGCCGGTTAAGAAGAATGTAAACTTAAGCTTTTAAGTAAAAAAAAAGGGTAAAAAGAATTGCAATAAAATAAATTGAGTGCATTGATGTTAATATTTTTAGAAAACATAATAAGCTAGGTCATAATGATAAACCAATATGGAAAGGAAAAACTTTCAGCCTTTCCACTCTTGTGAAGAAGGAAGAGCACTTGAGCTGTAGCCTCTGTTCTCGGCGGTGGCTTTCCCAGCAAGCGATTTGCTCTTCTTTCTCAAGGGAATCTGAAGCGCTCGACGCAGTGGAACTTTAGGCGATAGCGGCGTCGTGGCGGTTGCTGAACCATTCGCGCTGTTGCGCACCTCGCCACTCGTTCCGCTCCCGCTCTTCCTCCGAAGAAAGGTTGCTGGTTGCCGCTGTCGCTCATAGATGGCGGTAGCTCTCCAGAGTTTGGTGTCATCATTTTTTGCTGGTGGACACGATCCTGGGGAAACTAGCCCTTAACAGCTCCGCTGTGAAAAGAAATCAATGAAGAACTGCTGCCTGTGCAGTTAAACCAAATGAATGAATCTATCAAAACAAGCTCAATAACGAGTTATTTCCTCGTTTAATTCGATAATAGCTGCCATCCTTGATGGCAGTGACTCATAGGCTAGACACAAAATTTGTGTCTGCCTTGAAGCGTTCCCATTTTGTGAGAACGGTGGCCCATAGTTGGTCATCTGTGGCCGAATAAATTGGCATCCGCACCATGGCCACTGTTATCCGGCCCCACACATTCTCAATTATGTTCATGTCTGCTCCCTTTGGAACCCAGCTCCTCTATTCCACATTGCTGCAAGTGGTTCTTCACCACATGTGCAGTGTGCATGGCCGCAAGATCCTGTTGAAACAAGAAATTGTGGTCAGTAAAAAGACCACTGTGGGCGAAAGGTATCAGGACAGTATCCGCGACGTCACAGTAGCGGGCGGACGTCAGCCTTCCAACGATGCAATGCAACAAACCGAGATTGCGCTATGGAGACTGTGCCTCAAATGCTGACGCATGTCCTTCTGAGCGGCGCGCTGGACGTAGGCCGGATCTTTACTGCAGGGGAAGACCGACTTTAGTTGTGAAATGCACACTGTCACACTAACTCTAGCAGTGCACACAGACGGGGAACAGAAAAAAGGAGCAATGAAAAAAGAATATCAAAGCTAGGTGGATGAGGACGCAGTATTATAGAAAAAAAAAATGTTGATAGGAGTGATTGGTGAAAGATTCATTGCAAGCAGCACCGCATAAACTTGAAGAGTTGAGAAATTAAATTGTTTTGCCGAACGGAAACGAGTGCGTAGCGAGACTGAAACTAACAAGACAAAGTTCTGGAGCGAGAACAAGTTGCTGGATGTATAACAGAGGGCGTATTGAAGAAAGTCTTGCCGTGCGCCGCGAACTCGCCACAGATGCACGCATTGGTCCTGCCTCGTGGTAAACGTCCATTCGTCTGAAAAAACGACCCGGCCCCAGTCATCCGCCTTCCTGCGGCGTGCTTAGTTCCAAAGCAGAGCCTCGCGTCTTTGTTTAACGCTGTAAGTAAAGGCTTCTGCGCTGCCATGACGCTAATCAGTCCGGCGTTCTTCAACCTGCGATGAACTTTGGTGTCTGAGGCGTCCAATCCCAGGTGCTCACGAATTTCTCGTGCCGAAAGAAAGGGATCATTTACGGCAGTGGCTACAATGCAGTGATCCTTGTCCTCGGTCGTCATTTTTGGGGGAGGTCCTCGAGGTGCATCATAAATCTTGCCTTCATCGTGCTTGCACGATGCGATTAACCGCCTTAAGAGGCCTATTTACAAGAGCCCCAATGGCCCCCTGTAGAACTGCCCATTTTGGGCGAGCTCGACGATCTTCCGCCTGTCCGCTTCTGGAACTCTGGCCATGACGAGGTGGCTACAATAGTTCTGACAGCCGTGCAAGGGCACACACATTTATCAAGTGCATCGGATGCTGGGAAAGAACCACTGTTCGTTGATTCTTACAGAATGAAGTATAAAGAACAAGATATGTATAAGCCCATTTGTCAAACAAAATTCACATCTGCATTGTATCAGTTTGGCTGACAATTCTGTCTACATGCGGTTTCTTCCATGCGACAAGCCGCGCGTAGCAAACGACACGGCTGTAGCAGACGACACACGATAGCTCTGATGGCACGATGAGAATATATCTGCGCCGTACGTGTAATGCGCATGCGCTGCAGTTGTGCGCCTGGCCGCCAGAGCACACTGATAGTGCCTGGAGCCATGCGGTCCTGTGTTCCCGCTAACTGTGATTAAGGAAGTATGCATGTTTCGGTAGTCTCGTCGGATCTGGAAACTTGCACAACTTTCTCTGAAAAAGGAAAATGAGAGAAGTCCACAAACAATTGGGAGACGCCATGGAAGCCGCTGTGACCAGACTAAAAAATGCCACCTCCACCACAAAAGGCATTAGAGGCTGTTATCAAAGCCTGAAAAGAGCCAAACATGCTTGAACATGCATACATGTGTACAACAATAGACCAATCTCACTAAGTGTTCTGCACATGCACGCCGCCGCCATAACTTTAGTCCTTGGGAGGCAGGCAGCAGTGCACGAGATAGCTTGCACCGTCTCGTGCTCTGCTCGCGCAGACGTGCAGCGAGATTCAAAAGTGTGCAGAAAGTCTAAAGTTCCCTCTATGCATGGCGGCGGTGGTGTAATAAAACTAGTTGGTTAGGTCTGTATTATTTTTATACGCATTTCAAGCACTGCCCATATTTTGGCAGTGCGTGACTCTGCTCCATCTTCATGAAACTTGCACAAACTTTTTTTTTTTTTTTTCAACATTGAGGTGTAGTTGTTGCTATGAGTGGTGCATATGTGATACCCTGTGGTCTGGGTGATATGAATCTACTAGTGTTTAAAAAGATTAACATACCACAAGATCCTAGATAAACATCCACCCACGCTGAAGAGACAAACTTTAAAGGTATCATATGAGCAATCTCTGGGAAAAGATTGCACAATTTTGTACGAAAATGAGCGATGAACACGCTGGCACTGTCTACAAACTCACGATACAGGAAACCATATCACACACACAGCAAACTCATCCCACGGCGCTGCTTCTTGATTTAGAAATATTATTGCATGCAATTTTATCATTTTCCATCCATGCAAAAAAAAGATTTCGCAATCTCTAACAAGTCACTTTACAGTTGGCAGTGCAGCGGTTGATACTTGTGTCAGCAGTTTGCATGCGTGCCAAGGATCCCTAACAGCTGTTAAAAAAATTGGTACTGCGTTTCTGCTATGCTTTGCTGCAGACTACGTCGAAAGTTGATGAACTAGCCTTCTTCTATGGAGACCATATTCCGCTGATTACATTTAGACGAACCTCATTCCCTCGCTCAACCCTTGGTCGTACTAGAACAAGCCCACCTTTCTTCTCTGTCCATAGCCAAATGCCATTCTCTCTGTTGCGGCGTCTCATTGGCACGATGAACATGCAGAGCCTCAGTAGGCTGCCGCTTCTGTTCACAGTTCGGCGATGTCCTCTTTGGTCTGCTTGTTTCTCTTGCGCGAGGCATTCTGAAGATGACCGGAGCATTTCTATCATAGACCCCTTCCAAACCGTAGAAGCTGGCAGACACGCACAAATGGCTGCACGAGCCCTCTTGCAACGGGAGCAAAAGTCAAAGCTACCTGCTTGCGGTACTCACATGTTTTGTGTGGTCGGTTGGCAAAAGGAATGTTGTCACATTTAATAACCATCGCTTCACAAGTCTCCCCCCTGGTGCAGTGGTTCGTCCCTCACAACCTTGGTGTCCTGGTTCGGGGACATTCGGAATTTTGTTCTGTCTTCTCAATTTATCCACTTGCCACTCTCCCACACATCTGCATTCGTTTTGTGCCCGGTCGGAATTTTCTTGGGGTGGGGGGGCTACGGGCGGGGGGGAATCACTTTTTTATGGCTTTCTTTCTCGCAGCTCTAAACTCACTTTTCCATCCGGAGAATTCTTTCTGTGCGGGTATGCCATTAGTGCAAATTGTTGCTAGGCAAGAAATATTTGCGCTACATTTACGCCGCAATACGCATCTTAGTTGGAGGTCGCAACATGTTCTAAGCCCCGCCCACAGATAAGTGACCCTAGTGCCGCTTCAGAGTAATGACACTTGCCCATATTGTGGCTCAAAATCGTGGTTGCCAGTTATCTAAAGGTTTATCTGAAATCACAGGAAACACTTTTCCGTCTTTTATAAATTTTTAGACAGTTCGCTACAGATAAAAGCAATATTACATGAGCTTCCTAACACCGAATCTAATTCTGAGGATGTCACATTTTTGAGTCATGACGATCTGCGGTTGCGTCTGCTCTCCACAAGCAACGAAATGGCAGCACCCACAACAATGTCGGGGAACGGAGTGCCGATAGCCGAGCATGCTCGTGAGCCACGCGTTTCGCTGTTGCAATGTTTGGTGCGTGTAGTCTGGTGTCTGATATTGCCTGCTACTTGTGTGAGCAGACATGCGGCAGCCTCCAGCATTGTCTCTTATTCCACCTCCGTCCATCAAAGTCCGCAACACTGGCAAGACGCGACCATGGAAGTGGTGTTCTATTGTTCCATCATGCACAATCCACCATTCAATATGGGCATCTGTCGACGGGCAGTGAAAAGCGACCAAAAAGACTAAAATAAATCGACAAAATAAATATGCAGTTTTAGCTTTTCTGTTCTTCTTGTTTTCGAGCATGGTGTCCACAAGGGAGGTGGGTGGGTGCTGTAACGCACAATTAAAATGCAACCTAAAACTTTTCACACTAGCAAGCCACGTGCACTACTCGAAACTCGAGCTAGGGGTCTCCTGAAGCAAAATGACAGAAACCGGAAACATGCCTGAACAAATCTGATGCGAGGCGAACTCCCGATTGCTTCCAGCCAAATGGCTCGCAAATTCTTACCTGCGTAGGTTATCTCTCGGTATTGAAACCATGGTTGCAATCATGATGGTTGCATGATTCCGGGTAGTGGGGCCGATTCCATGGGAACCGACACCTTTATTCGGCCTTAAAATGCGCAGATGAACAAATCGATGCAAAATAGTCGACGTGAGACGCTATACTCCGTCTCACTAAAACTGTGCAGTGGACGCAAAGGAAGCACTGGGTGGAGGGAGAGGGGAAAAGCACTAGGAGGTCTGGAGAGAAGAGAAACCTCTTCCCTGCAACATTCCGAATGCTCGCCCTTTCTCCCTACACCCGCCGTTCCCTCCTATCCCTCCCGGCCTTCCTAGTGCTTGCTCTTTCTCCCCTCGGTCAGCGCTGCCTTTGCGTCCACCGCATGCTTTTAGTGAGACAGAGCATAGGCTTACGCCAGTCCTACTACGAAACCAATCATCTGCACAGCACTTCCGAAGGCGTGTTCTTGCGACAGTTGTTTGCTGCAAACTACGTCAGTTGAGATCTTCCCCTGAACATCTCTGTGAATGCGGAATAACTAGACGAGCTCAACGAGTTACGCAATGTACGAAACTGCTCTGCGCGAATGCCGGCAGCCATGTTTGTTATCGTTTAAAACCGAGGCTGAAAAGGCAATGTTGTGATATTTTTGGAAACAATGATGACTATCTATATTGTGTTTAAATTGCATCTGCCAGTGTTACGCTGCCAGACGTCGAAAAATGTTTTTGTGAAGCATGTCTCATTTAAGCCCTTCAAACAATTTTTTTTTTTTCATTTTAGTGTTTTTTTAAAAAGTCTGCTATCAATAGTTAACTTTGAGGTTGGCATTGCGAGCACGCAAGGTCTTACTGCAAGATGCTAGAATTTTGGAAAAGAGAGAGAGAGTGACTGGAGCAAGCATTTATGTAGTTACAGGCTCATAGAAGTGGCTTCAGAATTTCTTTTATTCATTGGTGTCACCAGTGCTCTGTTACCTTTCTTCCCTTTTTTCAACAGGTTTCCTTAGGGAACATGAAGAAACTGGTGAATGCCGATACCAACGTGATAAAACGGATTCATGGCTACAACAGTGTGATGGGTCAGGGCCGCAACATCCCAGACGAAAAGGACAATGTGATCTTGTGAGTACTCCGTTTTTAGACGGTGCTGCATATACAGCGCATTTGCAAATTCGAGGTTGGCTGCTTGTGACACTTTTTGTTTTTGACGTTAATACCCTGTAAAGGGGTAGTCACATAAGGAAGAAATCCCGGGGATTTCTCCCGGGGATTTCTCCCCGGCACGCGCGCATCACAAGATAAAAACGCGAGGCCTTTGCACATCGCAAAGCCTGACGTTTTTGTCGTGGGATGCGCGTGAATACCCCTTAAAGGACATTAACAACAACGGTGTTTTGGGTGAACTGATTACAAGAGCTTGGGTGCCCCCCAAAAAGACAACAGGGGACTCAAGCGCAGCGATTGCACGTGTTGCTGGCTTGTAGAATGGGGTTTTCAAAATGAAGCGCAGCATGCTCGTTTCTTGCTTGCAGTGCCAATGTGACAGCAAGCAAAATCTTTTAAAGTGAAAATCATAAAAAATTTAAAGCAGTTTCGTTTAACCCCTTTGCTTGCAAAGACGGCAATCTACCGGCTGCCGTGGTGAAGGCCAAAAAGGCAGCAACCTGCATTGAAACGTTTATTTTCCAATTGTGCGAAGAGGTCGCAAACTTTTGAATACACCATTTGTGTTTTGGTTAGTACTTTCGCATTAAATAGTACCTGGTCTTTTCAATTTTTATGCACATTTAGGGGTGAAAAAAAATAAAAAATAAAAGAAGTTTGTGGTTTTTTTTTTTTTTTTAACAAGAACATGGCATCCCAGAAGAGTAGAAGACTGCAGTGGGTGAAATCGTTGATCTTTGTGTTTGTCAGCAATGAAGATGAGGATTGAAAATTAAAAAAATTTATAATGAATGTCAGCGGCAGCGAGTATTGAAAGCACGAAGAAGATGAAGTGTTGAACTAAGAAACTGCGACCGATTCTGCACCATCGACTTTGAATGCTCCAGGGGGAACGGTGGCCGAGTGGGCTAGCGCACGCCAGCTCAGAGCACGTGGAGCGAAAGCTCACGCTGCAGAACCCAGGGATCCTGGGTTCAATCCCCACCCCTGCCTGTTTCGATCTGGATGAGCATCGTTCCGGCATGCGGTCTTGTATCGCTATTGCGTGGTGCACGTTAAAGACCCCAGGCTAGCGGTTGTACCGCACTGGCTAAATTGCTCATCTACAGCTGACGCACCAGACACCCACTGAGGCAGACTAACTTTCAGCTGTATAGACATACACTCAACAATTTGCTTTTCAATGCTCCATGGCAGTTTGATTTTCCAGTATATGCCAAATGATACACAATGGTCTCTGTGGTGGATATAACTGTTTACGACAGCGATATACCCTGCGGAAAGCACACTGTTGGGAACGCTAGCCAGTTACAAAGGTAAGAAATGTAACCTTGTCAAGGGCCATCCGGAAAGACTGCCCTTGAAAGGGCGATCTTTCTGGAACATAGACAAGGCATAAATATGACTGGGTGCCCCACCAATGCTGCTGAATGGTCGCATTTTTCTTGGGAAAATCGCCAACAATATGAAGCAGTATCCGCCAAGGCAGCACCACGTCAGCAAAGCGAATGGTCCAAGGAGCAAGAGCAGTGTGAGGAATCTTGTGGATTCTAACATGTCTCTGTACTCTGTAGTTAAAAGTTTTACCTGTCAACCTCTGGAAGTGTAAGCCCCTGTGCAGCATTAATTTAAGACAAAAATTATCCTCCGATAACACATGCTTAAAAAAATAAGAAGCTTCTTAGGCTTCATGGGTGGGACTAGAGTCACTGGATGTTGCCAGAGCATCGCATTCGATAGCGTCCGCTGTGACTGTTCTATTTTAGCTTTCATCAGTCATTTTGGTGCCGACACAGATACAGTGGAAAGGGTTTCACGGGTGCCAATCCCTGTCTCCCAAGCAAACACACCGCGAATTATCACCAAAGTTGGGACGCATCCAAGTCGGGACGTACTACCTGAAATCACTGGTGAGACATGGTTATATAAAAACTATATTGTGCCGCAAAACCTCCTACACTAAAATTTTATGAAAACTTCACGCTCCTGCGTTTCTGTACTAATCTCCAATAAAAGTTCCCACAACAAGGGCTTTTTCAGTTTGTTTTTACACAAAAACATGCTTTCTAAACGCTGACATTGACGAGAAACACTTTCAGAACTTTTCAGGGTTAAGAGTCGGTCGGAAATTCTGATGCCACCGTTCACAGTGAATATCAATGTTTACCTCAGTAAAAAAAAAAAGAAAAAGAATTGGTGCCATTGAGCCTGGAAGTTTTATGGTACTCTGAGAACACTCAGTGACTCTAGGTGGCATCATTCTGATAGAAATGGGGCATGGACTACTGTGCAATCCAGGGCGGTGAGATGGCGGAAGCGGAAGGGTTAACACTTCTTGTTGCTTACTGTACAAATAATGGGTACAGTAAAACCAAATCAACCTGTTGTTTTTGCAAATTGTTTGGTAAAAATAGAGCAGATGCTGCTTTTTTTTTTTTTGGCTTTTGATAACTTTGGCTCGTTTGGCCATCCCAGCTCTGAGAGCAGCCAGATTCACGTTCACGGGGAATCTCGGCGGTTCTGACAGCGACGAAAGCTCACTTTAAGGCGAACTCGAATACCTCTACTATTTTTCAAAAATATTGTGTGCACTCAACCTAACCCTAAAACGCAAAGCACGACTTGGGTTCTGCGCATGCGCAGTGCTATGACCCAAGCTGCTCGGTTGACCCAAAGCGTTGCAGTCCGCTGTTCTAAAACTTTATTATGTGTGCTGGGGGAGGGAGAAACTGGAGTCTGTGTTTCCAACAGCTCCAAACAATTAAATTTTGTCCATGCACATTTACAGTTTTGGTCCATCTTAGTGTAATCCCTGCATGGTGAACTAGCACAATAGGATATTTCTGCAGCATCGTAATTGTCGAAATTAAGCTTCTTGCTTTGCTTTCCAAAACATTGATGATTTCTTTTTCTCTTACAGGCCAGATGGTGTGGTGGTTCCATGTGGGAAGCTGGTGAAGAGTGCACTAGTTCACAGCGCAAACCTCCATTATAATGAGTACATTGTTTACAACACAAACCAGATAAAAATAAGGTATCTAGTAAAGGTTAGGTTTGGAAAGCGGTAGGATTGCACTTTGAATGAAGTACTTCTCCAGCATTCCAAGTCATATTTTCATCATGAGTGCAGATGATGTCTGTAACACCATTCATTGTGACTTAATTTTAAGAAAAAGTTTAGCCCATCATTTATGTTCTAAGGTCAAGTCTAAAACCAAAGTGCCCTCGTGTAGTGCTGTGCATATCTTTTAGTTATCATAGGTTTTAATAAAGCATTGGGAGCAATGGAAGAACTTTTTTTTATGCCATACGCTTTGACCATGACTTTTTAGCAATTCTGGAGTTTGATGAAGTGTCCAGAGCACTGTAAGGACCCTTCTTATGCATGTTCCTTACACCTGTGAAAACTGCCATGTACAGGCCCTTTGTTAAATATTATGTTGCAGAAATAGGTTTCAATGCTGAAGTGGTTCATATGAATACTCCAGTGATTTCTTTTAAAGTCTGGCACCCGAATAAAGGTTAGACACAATTCAATCTCTTGTGTTGAAGTGCTAGGTTTAGGTGCATTTGAAAAATATGGTTGATGGATAGTGTCTTAATACTGGAGTGACCATTATAGCTATAAAAATGGGGTTAGACCGCACTTCGTGAAAATGTTTGAATGCCAATAAGGGGTTAACATACCACTACTGGTGACTCTTGGGAGTGGAGTTCAATTTATGATGTTCATGGCACAAAATTTAGTCAAGTGAAAGTATTAAAAAATGCATGACACTTCTTCCTAGCCAGTCCAATTAGCATATTTTTTTTAGGATGTGATGTATGGATCAGGGATCACATCGGGCCGGAATTTTAAGGCCCAACTAGACCCGGCCTGATAAAGTCCTGACCCAAACCTGGCCCAAGACCGACTATGGTTTGTAAACGTCGGGCCGCGACCGGCCGGAACGTGTTGTGTCACTGGCTCCTAGAATTTTCCGAGCCAGAAGTATATCGGCAAAAATAACTAGTACAAAAAATAAAAAGGCAAGGAAGCACTTGTTGGAGATTCGTTGTGAACCTGATGAGAAAGGGGAAGTTGTTTCTTTCATTGCATTTAGTAACAGCGTGCATAGATCTAAAAGAAAGGTTAAAAGTTTGACAATTTTCAGTCTGGCCGATGTTAAGAACAACATGCAACAAATTGGCACCAAGTGGCGTCTAGGTGTCTCCACTGTATACAAGAAATTTAGCCGGTGCACTACCACTGCTAGCCTAGGTGCTTTGGCCACGACGACATGGAAACGCTTCTCATGCTCTGCCAATAGTTTTTTTTAGATGTAAGCTCTACCTTTGATTCATATAGTAGGACAATTTAGAGCAAATTTAACAAAGTTTTGTTTAAATTTATATTTGCTAGCAAAAATGTAAAAGCCATATTGTATTTGGAAACCCTGTCTATAATCATTGCGTGGATATCTGAAGACTGGATTCACTTACCAAATTTCGCCACTTTTGGCAAATACAAGAGAGATTAACAATGCAGCAACTTATTTTTGTTTTTGGAAAAATAAAATTTGTAAATAGAGAAGTTTTATTAAACGACACTCGCGACGCACTATTGGTGCCTTTATTTTCAGTGTTGTAGCTTGCACTAGTTTTCCGTGATTTTGCACAATCAAAGATATGAGGGATTACTGCAGTTCCCAAAGTCAATTTTTTAGATATACAGGTTTGGGCCGTCGGGCCCAGACACATCGATCCCAGCCCAACCGGAGCCCGATGGAGCTGAAAAAAATAAATGGGCCCGAACTTGATGGGACAGCTGAGTTGGGTTTTCAGGGTTGCCCAAGCTTGCACAGATCTCTAGTGTGGATTCCTGGTAGAGTGCTTGTACACGGAGCGTTAGCTGTGTACGCCAGCGCTCTAGTAGTACAAACATCTCTATACTTCATTTCAGCTTAAGTCCAGACGCAGCTGATGTTACAAGCGCGAGCATGTGGCCCTGAACAGCGCTTGCACTGCACAAGCATGTGTGCTTGGCAGGGATGCTGAAAGCCCGAAGCTCGCGCTTGTAGCATCGGCTGCGTTTGGACTTAAGCTGAAACGAAGTATAGGGTGGGGGTTGTGAAACCTTCAAGCATTCAAATGGCTCTAGTCATTGCAGCTTCCCCGATTAAATGGGGGTTTGTGTGCAGCAAAATATTTCATATGAGGTTGCATTTGGTGGCCTGCTCCGAGCACCAGAAATGACATATTGCCAACAGGTATAGCCTATAGGGCATTTCCACCGACGTAATTTCGTCCACCATTTGGTTGCTATGAGCTGTTGTGTGAAAACACCCTATAGTAGAAAAATTTGCATGCCTGTAGTAGCACAAAGAGCTCATCTTTTTTTAGTGCAAGGGGCTTTTGACCATCAGTGTGCTTACAGTTCACATACCTACTAACTTAAAAAAAGAAAAAAAGCACGATTAAAAGTTAGAGAAATCGAAAGGTTTTAATTTTTATTGTCAACAAGTTGCACATTCATTAGTATGCACACATTGTCCGAGAGCTCGTCAAAACGTGGAACGACGGTATATCGTAATTCTGAACGCACTTGGTACTAAACCACGTAGCGACGGAAAGACGTCAAGCACCGAGTAAAGGCTGAGTTCTCAATGGTCCGGTAATGATGGCGGCACCATCGGCGGAATGAACTGAGCCCGCAGCTCAGCATTCAGCCTCGCCACATCGGGGTGTTCTCTTTCGAGCTGCCTGATGAGTTGGGCGAATTGCAGAACACCTAAACCCAAGATGATGTGTTCGCGTTAAGCACGAGTGAAGACAACGAGCGCATGCTAGACGCATTCCAAGAGACTCCCTTCTTTCCGCTTACCTTCACCGTCGGGCGTGAAGCCGTAGTTCTCGATTACTTCCATTTTGATTTGCGTGAGAAGGGGGAAAACAACCTGCATGTGTTTGAGCATGTCGTTCCCTGCCACATCTTTAGCGTTTTGAACTCTGGCGTAGTTCTCGGGGTGTTCGAACGCGGCCAAAATGTCTTCTAAGGCGCCTGAAAGTCAGCAAAGGTCGAATTGAGTTGATACGTGTGGGAATTGAGTACAATGGATCGCATCATTTACCCTTTGCCTTTTCCGAGTTGAAGTTTTCTTTAAAGCAAATTGAGGCTGACATGACAGGACCTCACAATACCCTGCTGACACTGCGGTGGCTGCGGTCTTCCTCACTCACTGCCGCGGAAACTACCTCGTTGCGCGGAAACGGTCAATGTTACCGAATGGATAAATGCACAATAATTTTGGTGCATTCTTTTTTGTTATAGGGGGCAGCTTGCGCCACCTACCAGAAGGCTTCTGAAACCCATTTACTTCTATAATTTTAAACGGGTAACTACTAGAGGAGGAAAACTCATTAACTTTCATGCTGGTTCAGAGAAAAGCTCACCAGTTTTGTACTGGTCAATAAAAAATAAACAAAAAACTCGCTTTGATATTTGCTTCAACCAATGACGCCGCGCGCTTGGCTGCCATGACATCGCGCGTTGCAACGCCTACAGACACACCGTCTCAACCTGCAGTTACAGCGCCTACACACACACGCGTGCGGGTTCTCCAGTGACAAATGCGCCCTGTACGCGTACACGCATGACTCTCACTTCTCCCCCGTATTGTCTTACAACGCCCCCCCCCCTTTCCACACACACACACACACACACACGTGCGCCGCCATTTTGGAACACTTGCTCGCCGTTGTTTGTAGTTCGTAGTTATCGCTTTGCATGGCGACCATACAAAGCGATAACTACAAATCTTTCCATGAGTATATGATAACTATTTATTATCAGAGCGCATTTTTTTAATGAATTGGAGCCTCCACTTTTTAGAAAGTGTGTTTAGTCATAAATAATTCTTTTACGATGTGAGTATAAGAAATCAGAATATTTATAAAAAAATCGCAAGGGTGCAGGCGAGCTGATGAATATTACCCATGTTGAATTAACCTGAGACTGGAGTAGAGAAGAAACATCAAAACGTAGAAGGGAAAGAAAATAGACAGGACGACGTCTCAAACTCAGCTAACTCATTTATTTAGTCCACCTCCTTATATGGTCCCAATCTCAAGGTCATCTCCACCAACACAATAGGACGACGTTATACAGATCAAGCGCCACAGCCTTCATCACAGAATGCAAGAACGTTGATTGGATGGATTTTGCCTTATCGCGTCGACCTGTAAACGTTGTCAACGTTCTTGCATTGTGTGATGAAGGCTGTGGCGCTTGATCTGTATAACGTCGTCCTATTGTGTTGGTGGAGATGACCTTGAGATTGAGACTTTATAAGGAGGTGGACTGAATAAATGAGTTAGCTGCGTTTGAGACGTCGTCCTGTCTATTTTCTTTCTCTTCTACGTTTTGATGTTTCTTCTCTACCCCAGTCTCAGGTTAATTCAACATAGAGAATATTTATCTCTGTATTTAGATATATAACCATATACCTCTTATCATTTTGTCATTCTCTACTACAAGT